GCTGGGGGTGTGTGCACTTGCACACACACACATGCACGTAAGAGCTGTGTGCTTGGCAAGGGCCCTTTTCCTCTCACCTGATGGGGCTGGGGCAAGCAAAGCTTCCATTGGTTTTCCCTTGGCTCTACCTTTGCCACTTCATTGTTACAGCTGGGACCATCTGCCCTCTTGATTCCCTGGCATGTGGGAGATGGGGAGGCCTGCAAAGAATAGGCAAGGGCTTGAAAGTGGCCCTGGGTGTCTTGGGAGAAAGTCAGATTGTGCAGCTGGATAGATGATGTTGAGGGGGCAGTGACCAAGTGACTGTGTTGTCTGTGAAGGCGGGGAGTGCTACTGGTAATACCATATACCTTGGAGCATGCAGATCTGACTTTAACGCTTACTAGGTGTGTGACAGCTGAGCCTTAGTTTTCTCATCTGTAAAATGGGGTCAAGAAAACTTACCTCATGTATCTACTGACACACAGTATGGACTCAATATATGTGAGCTGCAGCTGCAGTGGTAGTTACTCTGCCATCACATAACACATACAGCACTCTCATCTGGCCTAAGCAAACATAGGGAGCAGGACCTCTAACTTCTTTCCCTCTGTCCCTGTCAGCCCTGAATGCTACTGCCAGACTGGTTTTCCAGAAGTTCAGTCCTTTCTTGCTGTAGAACTTTAAAAAAGTCACACTTCCTCTCTGGGCTGTAGGTTTCCTTATCTGAAATTAGGAAGCTGGACTAGGACAGTCACTCCTTGCTCAAAGGCCTTACTGCTGTCTGCCACTCAAAGAATTAATACCAGGTGAGGAGTGTGGACTTGAAAGCCTGCCATGGTCTGGAAGCCAGATCCCACCAGCCTGGTCTCTCCCGTCCCTCACCTACCCAAGCCTCTAGCTGAGCTGGATTGCTGACCACTGCCCAAACAGCCCAGCTGCCTCCCCTTTGTACCCTTGTTGTCATTGTTCCTTCTACCCACAGTGCCTCCTCCTGTCACTGTCACAGTCCTGTCACTCACTGAAGAATCAGCTCAACACTCCCAGCCAGAGATGTTCTCTTAGCTGTCCTCTTACAGAACTTTCTGTTATATCTCTATTGTACCTACCCAGTCACACTTTGTATTCAGTTAGTTGTATACGTGATTCAGACTTCTCTCCCTTACTGGACTGAAAACTCCTGAGGGCAGGGACAATGTTTTCTTCAAAGTCACTGCTCACGTCTCTCTGCAGTGTCTGTCAAGCACAATGCCTTGTATATAGAAGGTGCTCAATAAATGGTTGTTGATCAAGGAGGGAAGACAGGGAGGGAGGAGTGGAAGGAAAGGAGACCTTCTCATTCTCTTGTGACCATGTTGGGCCCAGCTTATACCTTCAGGCCATCTGTCCCCCAGAGCAGAGGAGATGTAGGAAATGAACTGTTTGTCACTTTCTTCCCTTAGAAGCCATTGTTGCATTTCAGGGTAGCACATGACAGATGGGGTGTCCTCGCACCCAAACAGATGCAGGAAGGAGCACCCATAGGATCTCCAGGGAGCACCATCAGGAAGCCAGTATGTTAAAAATGGCTGTAAAATGGTGTGGGAGCCAGGGGCAGTCTTAGGTGTGGGCCTGAGGTATCTCAGTACAGGAGGACTTTCTATGGGACGTGGCTGGTGGGGGTGCTCAGACAGGCCAGGCTGGGATGGCGGGTGTGGTGCTGGGATGAGAGGAGGAAGGGGGACCTACTGGAGTGAAGCAGGGCACCAGGTTCCCCTGCTTTTCAGCACTCGGATTGGAGGAGGGCAGAGGGTGGGCCTGACTCTCCCAGGGGAAATCCAGGTCTTCTATCTCCAGTCATCTGTCCCCACAAAGAAGGTGATGTGGTATTGGTATCTTATTTAAACACCTCCCTGGCTGTCAGGAAGTTCGTTTCCTTTCCTCTCCAGCTTCAGAAGGATCACCCAGGCAGCAGGGTGGGCTGGGCCGGGCAACTGCAGCTCCTTACCTGATTCCCTTTTCAAGGGACCCCTCGGGCATGGCCCCACTGCTCGCTTTTTCTTGCCCAGGTACTCGCAGGCTCGCAGGAGAAGCCTGCACATAGCCAGGGCCAAGGGGACAGGTCTACTTCAGCTGCCCCCTCCCCAGCCTGGGTCTTATTCCTCAGGCTCACAGGGGCAGCCCCATCTGTCTTTATCTTTCCCTGGGTCGAGAGAGAATTGCCAGAGTCAGGCTGGGGGAGGCTGGGGTGTGGAGGCCCCCCAGTCCTCTGTGGCTCCTGGAGGCTTGGGCTTTGTCCAGAGGAGCTGGAAGGGAAGGGACTTTTTGTCTGGCCTTCTATAGTGACAGACTCAGCCCTGCTCCCAACTTGGCCTGGGGCTCTGAGCCGCAGCCTTGTTCCCACACAAGTTGTGCGACAGCCAAGGCTCTGCACCCCCCTCCACCCCCCACAGTGAGAGGCCGAGAAGCATTCTTAACATTCTTTCCAGAGAAAAGGGGTGAAATGTCTGAATTTGGGGGTCACCACGTTATACAAATTGCAATCTAATCGTTTTTACAAGAACACACTTGCAGTAAGAAAAGGAGCCCAGGAGGAGGGGATGAGGAGACAGCTTGTTTTGTCCCCCTTCCCCCCAAAGTTTGGGGCTATTGTCGGGCTGATCTCTCCCTCCTCCACAGCAGTTGAGCCAGAGTTTTCTACTTAAATTGGTCCTGGGGTGGGGGCCTTGAAGGGCCCACGGTGCCGTTTCTGTTTGTTTTCCCAAATCAAAGCCCCAGCAGGGCTCCTATGGCACCGCTGGGCTGCTATTTGAAGAGATGGGCCATTTCCCAGAGCCTGGTGTGTCAGTTTATGCTCTGAACTTAACCTCACGGACACTGCATAACAGAGCCTCCAGGGCCCTGAGCCCAGAGGCAAAAGAAATTGTATCTTTTTATTGGCCCATTTAAAGTGTGTGTGGCCGTTTCAGAGAACAGTGCAGGAGAAACTCCTCAGCCATCTGGCTGAGCTGGTCTGGCAGATAGGGGCTTTCAGCACTTGTCGTGCCCCCAGGGGCTGGTGCTCCCTAGGGCCCTTGGGCCTCCCCCAGAGGGTGGAGGCCCTTGGACTGTTCTGTATTTCTTGTTACAGAGACTTATGGCCATGACATGTTCCATTGGGGGCAGTGGCCAGGTCAGAAACTCAGTCTGGGTGTGCCCCTTTGCAGCCCCATGGGTGCCCAGCCCTCCTTCCCACTGAACCCTGGGACCAGGGCTGGGCAGGTGGAGCCATGCTAGGATTCACTCTCCCCAAACCCCATTGCCTTTCATCTTCTATTTCAAACAGACAAACATGAAATTACTTCTGTAGATTAAAGGGGAGAGCTCCTCAGTCATTCCTGAAGGCCTCACTAATGGAGGCAGCAGGGCCCCCAAATCTGGAAGGAGAGGGAGGAGAACTGTGGACCAGAACAGTTCTTACTGGGCATGCACAAATGTACATGCGTACCTTGAGAGAGAGAGAGAGAGAAAGTGAGCCCTCTGCAGAGCTCCTGCCGCCCAGGGTGGCTGACGGATAACCCACCTGGGACGGCAGTTCTCTGGGAGCCTAGGTCAGTGATATCTAGGGGATGCTGATCTAGGGAGAAGGCTTTCTGCCTCATCCCTCTCAGGATCCTCTCAACAGACAGAGGCTAGTACCATCTAGCCCCGGGCCAACACTGGAGGAAGAGAACTTCCCTGGGGAGGAAGCTGAGTGCAGGTTAGGGGTGCTGGCTTAGGGCCCAACTCCCCACTGGACAGCAGCTGTGCTCTTTGAGGGAGTCACCTCACTGTCCAGGGCCCAAAGGGGCAGGCAGAGTGGGCAGAAGGGAATCCTGCACAGCCTCCTCCCTTGACTCCTTCAGCCTTCAGGGAAGATGGCTTCACTTGGGAGGAGCGGGCAGAGGGTCGGGGTCTCTGTGAGATGGAAGGACTGGACCAGTCTGCATTCAGCCATGGCGCTGGCAGCGTTGGCTGCCTCCAGCCCTTTGCTGAAATGCTGCTTAGGACAAAGCTGGGAGGGTGGGACCATGAAGTCCTCTCCCACCCATGCCAGAGCCTCTTCCTGGGCCTCCCTGTGACATGTTCATGGCCTTGTTTCTCTTGTCCTGTCATGGAGGAGAGCCCAGCATCTCTTGGATGAAGCCAAGGGGTCGTGCCTGGAGGGTTACCTTCTTCTCCTTCATTCCCCCCAATCATTCAATCACTTAACACTTCTGCCCTTCCCCTAGTCACAGGGATTAGCGGGTGCACTTGATGTTGAGGGGTAGTTGCTAGGGCCAGGAGGCCCCCCTATGTGGTTGCTAGGGGTCTGGCATCAGGACGAGGGGTCTGCCCACTGCCGCGGTCACGGAGGGAATTACAGTCACAAAGAAATTGTTCTTCTCAGTAATCTGCTCCCGGCCCCGGGAGGGGCGAGGGTGGGGGAGCAGGCTGGAGCTCAGCAGGCTGGGGGCTGTGATCACAGAGCGTGCGAGCCCTGGGCTGGGGGCCAGCCGGGCCAGGAACACCAGGGACCAGCCCGCTAAGCTGCTTTCTCAGCGATTTCTCTCCCTGGACACAAAGGTGTTTACTTGTTTTAACATCTCCTGGGACTCCCCTTCTCCCTTTGTGTGGTCTTTATCCCCAACGAGGTTTGAGCCCCAGATTACAGGCGGGAATTAAGGCATTGGACTCGGGCAGCTCAGAACTGCATGACCTGCAGGATCAAGGAGTATAAAGTAACGAAGTGTGTGTGTGAGGGGGGCTGACCCCTTTAGCAAGGCCCATTCATCGCCCTGAGAAGGAGTGGCTGGCGGCGGGCAGCCAGCCTGCAGGTGTGATGGAGGGGCTGCGGGCATCTGATCGAGGCCTTTAGCTGGGGCTAGGAGACCCTGGGGGAGGGGCAGAGTCTGGGGCCTCTCCTTCAGCCCCCTTCCTGAGGGATTCTAATTCTAGCTCAGGAAGGAAAGCTGCATTTCCCAAGCTCTGATTCCATTTGAAGGGCTAAGGTGGGACAGCCTCTGCCCTTTCTCTCTCCCCAGTGGGCAGCTGATGACACACCTGGGCAGTGACTTTCCCCCAGGGGCTGGGGTGTTGGACGTCATGTATGAAACCCCTTCTACACTCCTGTCCTGTGGCTACGACACCTATGTTCGCTACTGGGACCTCCGCACCAGTGTCCGGTGAGTGTGTTGGCCAGAGGTGGAAAGGTGATGGGTGCCCCATGCAGTCCTAGTCCTTGCTCCAGCCCTAGGTCAGCTCAAGAGTGAAGGCAGAGACTCCATATCAGGGGCTGGGTAGAGAGGGGCCAGCAAGATCATATCATGCTTAGACTCCCCTGGGACACTGTTTCCTCTGGCCCGGGGGACTGCAGCCAACAGGTCCTAATGATGGCCAGTGTTCCAGAGCCCTCGGGAGCCATCAGGGTATTGGCCCAGCCCTTTCTGGAGGTCTTGATTTTCCTGTCCACCTCACGAGTTCCACGACATGCTGCCGGCCATGGGAAACACAAGTGAGGACAGAATCTGCCCTGTGGTCTGGGGCTTGGTGTGTGACACCTTTACAGAAGATGCTTTCCCCATTAGGCTTGCTTTTTAAAGAATATGGTGATTCAGCCTTCTCTGTCTCATAGCCCAGAATAACTCCCTAACCCTCCCCTGAGCTTCTCCTGGGGAAGCTGGGGTGGAGGATATTCCCAAACCTCCCCCTGCATCTCCTCTTTCTGGACAGGAAGTGTGTCATGGAGTGGGAGGAGCCCCACGACAGCACCCTGTACTGCCTGCAGACAGATGGGAACCACCTGCTGGCCACCGGTTCCTCCTATTACGGCGTTGTGCGGCTGTGGGACCGGCGTCAAAGAGCCTGTCTGCATGTAAGTGTCCTGCCCACCTTCCAGCCGCCAGGATGCGGGACTCATTATTACGGGCTACATCTTGGGAGTGGGTATGTGGCCAAGGGTGTGCCTGGAAGGGCCTGGGGGAAGTTATGATGGCACATAGGCCTGAGGACCCTGGGTCAGGGTTCTGCCATTTCCCTCTTGGAAAGCTCTCACCACTTCTTGGGCCTTCCTTTCCAGGCCTTCCCACTGACGTCGACCCCCCTCAGCAGTCCTGTGTACTGCCTGCGTTTCACCACCAAGCATCTCTATGCTGCGTTGTCTTACAACCTCCATGTCCTGGACTTTCAAAACCCATGACAGTCAGGGCCACCCCAGCCTGTGGGCCAAGGAGGCCAGCTTCTCAGGGACCTCTCTTGCCTGGAAGGTGCAGTGATATCCCTTACCCTGCTGTGCCTGTGCGCCTGCACCTGTGACCACAGTGCTTGGGGACTTGTGGGTTACCCAGGATGAAGTCCCTCCCAGGAACCAGTTGGAGAGAAGGGACCTGCTGCTTTGGGAGACTGCAGCTGAGCCCGGGCCTTGTTTCCCTGTTTGGCCGGAGCAAAGATCTGGCTTCCTGAGGCCCACCCTGCACCCTACCCTTCTGAGAGTCAGCACCAGCTTACAGAGTGAGGTGAGGTACTCCACGCTGCCCAGTTGGCCCCTTTCTGCCCGTTCCCTGGAAGGAGGGGTGAGGCTCTGCCAATACCCCAGCTGCTGGCACCCCCCGACCCCCCCACCTCCTCAATCAGACCTCACCCTTGACCAAGATTTTGGAGCTGGGGCTCATTCCTGGAGCACTATGGTTTTGCTTTGAAACTATGAACGGGCAAAGGAAACCCAGCAGTTTTGAGTAGTGCTGAGCCAGACCTACCTCAGGCCAGCTGTTGAGACATGGTACAATTTTCATTTTTGTAAAAATAAAGCTTGATTGTTCACAGATCTGGTTCCTGACTGGTTGGGCAGTCCTAGGAGGCCCCAGGGAGCTGGAATGGCAGACTCAAACTAGGGGATGTATCTTCTGCAGAAGGATGAGACCAGCCTCATGGCTCAGTGACCCAAAGAACAAAGGTTTCTTTTCTTCAGGAAAACCACCCACTGACCCTGGTGGTGGAGTGAGTGTCACCTGTGGGGGTATGCAGAGAGGAACACGGAAGTTCTCCGGGAAGCCTGGGGGCTAAGCTGCTGTCTGTTGTTGGACCCTTCTCTACCCTACTCCAACACACTCACCCATTAGTAATACTATGACCTTTTTTCTAGCTTTTTACCCACAATGTCTTAACATCCTAGAACTGTTTGCAAGGTTCCTACATTTTAAAAACTTCTGTCTTGTTCACATCTATCTTATAGAGTTCTGGGCCACTTCTGCCAGAGTCCCTTCCAGCCTAGTCTTCCTCTGAGTTTGGGGACACTCAGCCCTTACTCTGCTGGGGCTGAATTCTCCCGTCCTCTTCCCCTTTACACAGAAGGCTTTATGTTGAAGGTCCTTGCTCTGGGCCAGGATGGAGGAGAAGGAAATGACATCAACAGCACCCTCCCTGGGAAGGCCAGTGGGCCCAGGGGCCAGGCAGCACACAGAGGTGGACAAGAGGGCAGTCCATCAGCAGTAACTCAGAATGACTTTACTCAGGAAACAGACCATGGCCCAGGGGCTAGGAGTGCCCCAGGGTCTGGTTCTTACAAAGACTCGACAGCTGCTAGAAGAGAGGAGGCTGTTCTCATGCCGGGGCAGGCGTAAGCCTCCAAGTCTCACAGCCTGACAGGAGGCACCTCACACACCCCCACCCTGGAGGTGCCGGCCAGGGGGCTGACTACTGGGTCTTGCAGTCCCCATCACTGCTGTGAGCCGTCTTTACCTTCTTCAGCTCCTTCTGTAGCTCTGACTCGGCCACCAGGACCTCCTTTGGCTTCTGGTACTGCGGATGGAATCAGGAAGTAGTGGACATAACTCAGCCACTAAATGCCTTCCCCTCCCTCCACACACACATACATTCAGAGCCCCTTCTAATCCCTATATTTGAAGATGATGAAATTGAGGCCTACAAGGCTGAATGATTCACTCAAGATGATATGGCTGGGTGGGAGCAGACCTTGAACCAAAACCCAGATCCCGTGATTTCTACCCCATTCCCATCATCCTCTGTCCTCTAAGAGCTGTGATTTGTACATCAGGCTCCTCCCAGAGCCCCAACCCTGCTCTCTCCATCCTGAATTAGAGATGCCTGTTATCTAGCAAGCACACCCTAGGGGCTGAGGCCAGAATTGGGGAATCCTATGGGATGGGAAGTGGGCAGGGAAAGAGGAAGACACTCCCGGATGCTGTAGTCAAGAAGGTTGGGTGAATCTTACGGAGATGATCAGGGTGCAGTTGGCATGAGCAAAGCTCAGGGAAGAATCATCCAGAGGTAGCTGGTATCTGTCTAGGTCAGGAATGGAGAACTTCTTGTAGTACCTGTGGGAACACCAAGAGTCCATAAGGCCAGCCGGTAAAGCGACCCTAACAGTTGGGCATCAGACCATCTGCCGCCAAGCTTGTACACAGTTCTCCCACACCTTCCACACAGCCTGAGAGAAAGGAAGCCAGTTAGAACCACCAGTATTTTAAGAGCTTAGTGGCCCTGAAAGGAAAAGATGAAAAGCCTTATGGCCAGTCTAACAGTAGAAGTGCCAAACTAGTCATTGTTCCTTCATTAAATCAAGGATAAGAGTAACTCTCAGACTTAAGAGTAGGATTACCAAAGACAGGAAGAAGAAGCCTCCTGGAATACACAAATAGCTCAGGTAACCTGGGCCTCCTCTGTACCCTAAACCTCATGGGGACACCATACAAAAAATGGAGACACTTGCTCTGACAAGGGACAGAATAAGGACATCCAGGGCTGTCCCCCAAAGCTGGGAACCTATAGTTGCCTTTTAGATGGGACTTCCACTGAAGGCCTCAGCTACCTTTTCCTCTGTTAGGGTCTTTCAAGGCCTAGTTAAGCCTGACTCTACTTGTAGGCCAGAGAGAAAAGTATATCCACGAGGAAAACTCACACTGAGAGGACAAACCATGTGTCTCATCACGGAAGCTGGCTCTGGGGTTCTGCACTACTTTGCTGGCCCTGAGACCCTACTTGTCTTTTCACACAACACACCCAGGCCCTCGCCTCTACAGGTGCCAGTCCAGAGATTAATGATCCCTTTTAACACCAGATAGCAACACTCAGCCCACAATGTGTGTAACTGGCTTTGTTTTACAGGAAACTTGACTCCTTTTACCAGAGAGGAAACTCAGGCTCAGAGAGGTGAAATGTCTTGCCTGGTTTCACACAGCCAGTTGTCAGTGGCTTTGGGATTAAAGTTCCTTGCTCCTAGCCTGGTGCTTATTACACCAGAGCACAAAGAACAGCCTCCTCATCTCTGACAACAAGCCTGTTTGCCATTTTCCTTGGTGGAAATGCAGCCGCAGCTTGGCCAGTGGCTGCCAGACCTGTCACCTGGGCATAGCAGCACCTTCTGCTACAGCAGTTGTGTGGGCTGGGAAGCAACAAGCTGCAGGCAGGTACAAACAAACTCAAGTGAGGGGCCTGGAAAGGATGTGACTTTTAATACTTCAGAGAGGCCCTGTCCTCCTTGCGACAGCTACTCCAAGTCCACTTCAAAAGCCCCAATGCCCTGGGGACTCAGATAGTTGACATCAATGCAGCACTTCTGCCCCCGCTCTCCCTGTCCAAATCCCTCAGCTCAGCAGAAGCTTGCAGGGCCCCTCTCCTCCCAGGTTCCCTACTCCCCCACCAAGGTGCTGGGACCCACGGCAGGAGAAGAATGTTTACTTAAAGGCTGACAGTTCAAAAGGAGTGGGGGGGGGGGCCAGAATCCTAATGGCACCACAAGTTTGCTTTATTTTCCAAAGCTCTGCCCCAGGGAAAGGTGATCCATCTGCCCGCAGACCGGGGAAGGAATGCCGGCCTCAGCCTCTTCCTAGCCAGTCCAGGCTGAAGGCTCTTCCTGGGGCTGGTCTGGCCAGCAAAGGTGGCAGACACTGATAATGGGGGGAGTCAAAGGTTAAACAGCAGAGATTAGATGAACACAAAGGCTTGTTAGGAAGTGTTAACATCTTATGCACAAATATACACAAAAAAGAACGCAAGAGAAGCAGCCCAGACACACAGCCGAGCAAGATGGGGACCCCTGTGTAAGGCCTTGCCATGCAGAGCATGGGAACATCCTTTCTCCCTACCTGTCTTGTATGCTGGGGTGGGGGGTGGGGGACAGGGACACACCTGTGCGACCTCAGAGGGGGCACTGACAAGCCACATTCCCCAGGCTGGGGCAGTGGGACTGGAAAAAGAATCCTGGGGCTTGGCCTCAACGCCATCCAGTGACAGGATCAAAGGAAACTTGAGGTGCACAGCTTGCTACCCTTCCTTGTCATACTCCTACTATCTGTCATGAGGCCAGAAGAAAGGGAGGGTCCAGAGCTCAGCTTTGTTTTGGGAGTCAGTTCTAATGGATTTAGTTTATTGGTTGAGGTTAAGCAACTTCTCCTCAGAGGTTCTTTGACAGGCAGTGCTCAAGGCAGTATGGGACATCTGCTTTCCCTCCTCAGAGGCAACGGCTAGCCCTCCCCCTTTACCTCCATTTTCTGACTTTGGGGTTCACCCTGATGGGAACTGCACTAGACTTTCTTATCAGCACCTGGACCAGAGAGGGACACTAGAGACCCACTGTGCTTCTGGAAAAGCTGGAACTCTCAACCTCAGGCAGTTCTAGGTAGGCAGCAAACTTTTATTTGGCATCAACTGTGTCCCAGGCCTTGATCTGTGAGCTGGGGATACAAGCATGAAGAAGAAACAAAGTTGTATCCCTGTGCCCCTGAGGGGCTCAAACCTAGTGGACATTGTTGTGCTTCCCCTAAAAACTAAACCCTTAAGCTAGCTCCCTAGCTTCCTGCAGACACCCAACTCCCTCCTCCCCCATTCCCATCTCCCTTCACCGTTCTCAGATTCAACCATGCAATGAAAGATGGCATATTAATGCTTATTCTGTGCCAGGCACTGTTCTAAACACATCTGATCCTCAAAATAATTCTCTCAGGTTGGTTACTTCTATTATCCCTTTTTTACAGAAGAGGAAACTGAGGCACAGAGAAGTTAGGTATGTTTCCCAAGTCACAAACATGATATATGGAAAATCCCCTATTTCAAGCAATAATTCCCCAAATCTCCTGACCTCTCCATTTCTCCACATTCTCACTACAAAGTAACAGACCATGTTGTCTAGATTTCCTTCATCTCTCCAAGGATGGGGCAAAAATGGCAGCAGGGTAGGGGGGTAGGGGATGAGGAGAGACTTTTAGAGCTCATGGACTAAGAGGGGGGCAGCAACAAATTGGTTGTCTCATCTGGGAATCCCTGGGCACAGGGAACCCCCTACCTTGCAGGTGGTCCTAGGCACTCTCTCCAAGATATAAGTGGCTTTCTGAATGCCAAAATCTTTAAAAAGACTTATGTGGAAGCAAAGGCTCATAGTAGGACTCCTGCCCTGCCCTGTGACCCTGGGCAGGCCACTTAACATCTGTGCCTCAGTTTCTTCTTCCAGATTTCCTCCTCAAATAAAGAAGCTGCACTAGATGAACTTTAAGTCATTGTGAAAATGCCTGGAACAGGCCAACTCTGTCCCTCTCTCTTCCCTGTGCCAAATGGGCAGCTCCTTCATTTTGGTGATTTCAAAAATAACCTACTGTATCCCATCACTCTCTTCCTACTAAATCCCCTCCCCAGTTCCAAGCCCTTCCCCTTCAGTGAACTGAGAAAGGGCACAAGAGGCCAGGCTCAGAGCGAGAGAGACCCTGGAAAAGAGGCTGAAAGTAGAAGCAGGGCTGCTGTGGACAGTCACCCTTGGAACATCCCCACATACCTCCGGGGGCATCCTTCACACCGCACAACCTGCACAGCCAGAGCTGTCCAGAGAAGTCTCCAACCAGTCAGGCCCTAAGAAAACCAGAAGGCAAATCTTCCTTCTTCCTTAGCCATCAAGGCTCTGGCCAAACTGTGGTCACCCCTGCCTGCAGTAGCCCTTCTCGAGAGTCAGCATGCCCATGCACATGCTAAAGGCTCACAGAAGCCCTGCCAAAGAGAAACCTATTTAATCCAGAGCTCCCTAAACTTACTTGACCACAGAATCCTTTTTTCTAGCAATGCCTATTAACACCTCCCACAGTGTTAGCAGCACCGATATTACATCAGCCAAGCTCTCCGCAGATTCAGATTTCCAAAGAACTGTCGAGGACCTGTTTTGGGTCTGCCATTGTGCTCGGCATTTGTACATATATGATTTCATCAAATTTCCCAAAGTCTATGAAGTAGGTTTGAATATTCTGCTGTTGTAGATGAGGAAACTTTGCCCAAAATAATACAGCTAATAAGAGGCAGAGGCCAGGTTTAACCCAACATCTTCCTACTCCAGCACTTTGGTTCATTCCACTTACAGCTGCCACCTGCTGAGCTGAGGTTTAGAACCTTCCTTCTGCACAAATGCTCTTATCAGGAGCAGATGAATCTTGGAAATGTACTCTCTGCCTTCTTTGATCCATCCCTCACTAATGAATCAAGGACACAATACACTAGAATCCATTCCTTCAAGAAAAGTGGCCCACCAGTTCTTCAGGGGCAAGGCAGGTGCAGATAAAGGAACCTTGGCTTTGGTTGGTAACCACAGTCCAGGATATTAGAACTGGGGCAGGCAAGAAACCTCCAGATAAAGACAGAAGTCAAACAAGGCAGAAATGCCACTGTGTGGTAGAAACTGCACATGCCTGGGCACTGAGAGAGACTGTCACTAACTTTCCCTTCAGTGGGTCAGTTCATCATGCTGCCTTCATAGATACATTAATATGTAACATGAGAATAAAAATATGTACCCTGCCCACCTCCGGAAGGTATGAAGATCACAGAACAGATTTTAAAAGTACTCTGAAAAAGTTAACACTACTCAAAGGAATAGCCATTAAGTTCTGTTTAATTAGTGGTAGTAAAGATAGAGAACACGGTACTCCAAGCAGAAGATGAAAATGCCAGCAGGTTCAGGAAGGAGCCAGTTATGGGTTTCACAGCCTCTCCAGCCTACTTCCCAGCAGAGGGACTGGAGGCGGGCTGGGCTGAGCCAGCATGGGATGCTGGACCAGAGCTCGGGGGGGGGCTCCAAAGTGTGGACTCCTCTTCAGCCACCAGCCCTGCTCCTCCCAGGGTCCCACTCCTATCCCACCTGGCCTCACTCATCATTTCAAAATTGTTTCCCCCAGATGGAGTGGGCCTCTAGCCATGGAGCTCCTGGCCAACAGCGCCACCTATGGCTGGATACGTGCATGAGATGGGACCCAGAGGATGTAACCACAAATGAATTTTTTGTTGAGCTTTCTAGCCTCTCTCCTCTCATTCGCTAGTAATCACATTTCGGCCTGATGTCTGTATTCGACAGTGACCTCTGGGGGACAAAAGGGAGGCAGCAGCCAGCTCCACAAACTGCTGGGCTGCAGATTCAAGTGCTATCAGAGGCACTTTTGTTCCCAGTTTGGACCCAGGGCCTCTTACACCAGGGAATGCTTGCTGAAGCACGGAGTTTGTTTTCCTAAAGGCAATTTCTCTGTTGTCTGAAATTGCTAAATTCCACTTTAGGCACTGACTCCTGTTAATGATGAGAACAATAACAGGAATAAACTGCCTTTTATCTGAGGGTTTCAAAGTGCTTTATAAACGCAAACCCTTATTATTATGACTTTATATTTATAGACAAGGCCCACTGCAGGGGCTGCTGGCTACATGTACAGCAATAACCCTGAAATTATTTCATTCATCTCCACCCCCTCCCCTGTCCCCTTAACCCTGCCAAAGTGATGGGGTGTGGAGGTCAGGAGAGGAGGGGAGGACCAAGGGCTGCATTTGGGAAGCTTGGGAGCCACACTACTTACTTCCCTGTGGGCGTCATAGCCCTGAGGGAGATGGGAAGAGGAAGCTGACGCCACACAGCTTAGAAGATAGGGCAAGGCGCTGGTCTTCCTGACTGCATATAAACCAGTTGTGGAGTGATGGCAACTTTGGGCTAGGCTTAGCACCCATGGTGCGTGGAGGGTGGCTTCACAGCTGTGGAAAAGTAACCCATAAAACCTCCCAGCTCAATGCCCCAAATCTTCTTAAAGGGAGGTGGCCCTGTGCTACAATCCTTCTGGTACAGGACAAGGCTGATTCGTTTCAGGACTGTTCTCTTCAGGCCTCAGACAGGGCTCTGTCTTCTCCTGTCATCAATCACAGAGTTCTGGAAACCCAAATGGGGTCAATGCATTTCCAAGACGGTCAGCCCAGAAACAGTCCTACCAGGATCATCCTCATCGGCCACCTTCTGTCCCCTCAATCCCCACATTTTGCCTCTCCTGCCACACCTGCTACTGGACTACAGGAAAAAGAGCAAAAGGAAGTTGAATACCCCTTTTGAAACATAATGCAAGAGACTTCCAAGAGGCCAAAGGATCTGCCCATTGTCCCTCAGTGCAGAAAGGGACCTAGTTTACTGTTTCCCAGGCTAAGACTTTAAACTACCACCTAGGAGAAGTATGCTGTCTGCCAGCTCTGATAGTGGTGGCACCAGGCCACTTTCCCTATGGACTGGGTCCAGCCAGGATGTCAAGGTCACAATAGCCTTACAGAAGAATCACCTAAGATCACAACTTAATGGCCATGTGGTTCCTTCATTCTCTTAGTCACTGAACAGATACTACTAGCCTGCAGTATGTGCCAGGTACTGTATTAGACACTTGTTCAAGTGGTAATCCCTCGCCCTGATGAAGCTGATGACTTATTCAAACTGGTCCTGGAGAGGGGAGTGAGAGGAATCCCTTCAAGCTTTCAGTGCCTACTGGGGTTTTAGTACAGCCTTCCTTCCCTCCTCAGAGCTGGAGGGATCTGCCCTCTTGGGTAGGGAGCAGTCTGAGACCTAACCCCAGACCATCTCCACCCTCAGCCTACTCATACTCAAGCAGACAGGTACCCACCATGCTACTCACTTTTTGTTGGTAGTTCTGATAACAAGACAGCGCTCCTTCTGGTCTACACAGACACTATAGACATCCTTAGGGTAGGGGAGGTTTCGAATCCGCCACTGGAAACTCATTTTGGTATCCTTACGTATGAAGATGGGCTGCAGAAGGCAAATCCAACTCAAGGGCTATTCTTGGGGAGAGGAAGGAAAGGACAGGTCCTACTCTCCTCAAAACTCCACTCAGTGGCCCAATGGGGCCCAGACCCTCAGTTCTTCTCCATACCTCCCCGCCTCCGATGCTGCTATTGCTGTGACACTGCAGGCCTGGAGCCCTTGCCCTGGGATGACCAAGCCCAAACTCTTTGACTATTCATTCAGCAAACATTCATACAGCACTGTGTTCAGGTGGGCACACTGGAGATGAGGAGGTGAACAAGACGTGGTCCCTATCTTCAAGAGCCAGCAGCCCACCCTGACCCTGGCCCCTGCCTCCCCCATCCCCCGCCATTCCCCTGCCCCAGAGCACATGGACAAATAGACATACATTGGCATTGCTTTCCTTGATGAGTTCTGGCCCCAGGCTCCCTGCTCCTGGGGGTACTGGATGGCCCACCTCAATCTGCCACTGGCCCAAGGCTCCCAGGGTACTTTTCACACGCCACTTTCTCACTGGGGAGAGAAGGAAGCAATGGGATTATGGGGAAGGAAGGGACCCTGCTCTTTTCTACTGAATCACCAATATCACACTGGGTAACTAGAACAAGATAAAAATGGGAGCTACAGGCCTTTACAGTGGGCTTTGTCCAGCTGAGCAGGGACCTCCCAACCTCTGAAATCACAGTAGAGCATTTCAATATTGGACAACCTGTGTAGCACACAGCACGATGCCCAGACAAAAGGAACTGGAACAAAGCTCTAAGAGGAGCCAAAAGGAGTCAAGGAACACCCAAGTGTGGCTTCAAGCAAGGGGAATATGCAAGGATTAGGAAAAAGGTGATTAATGGTAGGGGGAAGGATTCAGATCCCAAAAAGTGGGAGTTGAGATGGATTCTTCCCCCTCTAAAAAACATACAAAGGAAAAATGAATTAAGAGGGTGAAAGCTGCCAGGAGGTTTATCTCATGATTCAGAAAGTCTAAATACAGAAACTCACTCATTTCTGGTATAGTTGACCTAACACAACAGTCAAATCACTATATTTAAACACCACATTTTAAATGCATTATTTCTAGAAGTTCTAATGTAAATTTTTTTGTAAAGTGTACTCATCCTTTTACTATGCAAATATTCATCTCCATTTTACCTGTTTTACAAGTCAGCTGTCCACATAAAAATTTTTTTTTTTAAAGTAAGGTACATACATTATCGAAATTATAAATCAAGAAACTAGTTCAATGGACATTACCTGAAAACCCCTACTGGAATTTTTTCAGGAACTCCACTCAGCCATGCTGTGGTGACTGCTGTCATCGGTGCGGTCCACATCACTGCAGGGGGTGTCCCCCACCCCTAGTTGTACCCTCTAGGTTACTTTCCTTTCCTGCTGCATTTGGAATTGCTGTGGCTGCTCCCTCAGGGTATCCTCCAGCCTGGGCAGCTGGTCAGTACTACAGGCTCATAGCCTTCCTGTAGCTGTCAGAAGGAGCTAAACAACTCAAAGGGGAAGGTATTCTGCCATAGTTGCTTCTGTTTGTTCCTTTTTCTGGACTGGGGTATGATGGCTACCGTCTGATCCTCAGTATCCAGGCAAGCTGATGGTTTTCCTTTAGACCTTTTGAGCAGCTGTGCCAAACCAAAACACTCTCACTGCTATCAGTAAGGCACGCAAGCTGAACACAAAAGTATGCTGTAAAATTAGAATTTCCCCTTGAATATGTGCTTTTATAAGGCTGCTGCATTCTGCAGTGTGATTTTATTACGTCTTAGGGCCAAAAACTCTCCCTAGAAACACATTTCCAAGTTTATAATGAAAATTAATAAGGAATAGTAAGACTTGGAAATATGCTTTACAGGCAACTGTTTTTTTTTCCCCAAATACTTCTGCTTTCTTAAGTGAATGGACTGTGACCAAGAGTATACCCAAGCCTATTCATGTAATACCTCACTATACTGGAAGCTAGCCCTCTGGGGGCTGCTGTCACAGCTGCAAACTCAGAAGTGACAAATGTCTCTGAGCAGCAGCAGCTTATGGTGACAAGATCCATGTACCTCACTCTACAGTATAGGACAAATCACTCCCAAATTCTCACTCTGACCATACAGAAAATGCTACGTGCACAATAACGCAGGAAATCACTTTTCTCCCAGGCACACTGACAACAGTACGTGGGGACACCTCACCTGGGAGGGCAGTGTCGGAACTACACAGCACTTGGGACTATTTAGTGCAAGGCCAAGCACACATCCTCTAGACCCCGATGCCATCGCTAAAGAACACAGTCACCACAGGTTTTAAAGGTGGAAATCCCTTCAGAAATTATCTAGTCCAGTGTCTGTATTTTTCAGAGAAGAAACAATTTTTTCCCTGCCCGGTCTCCTTCAACCCTTGCCACCACTCTCCAGGGGACAAGGTATGAAGAATTACTAAGGCTCAGAGAGATAAACTAACTTGCAAAAGCCACAGCTAAAGTTCAGGTCTCCTAACTCCAAGTCCAGATTCTGAGTCATTAATAAAAGGCTAAGTTATATTCTATAAATGTTCAATAAGCATATACTGTACAATATTTAGAAAGGTTTCTATATTTTTAAAAAAGTAGTTCTATTTCTTACATATATTTTGGTCTTTAAAGAAGAAGCTTTGATTATCTGAAAAGTAAGTATGAGGAATAGCTAACCATCTGGGGCTGGATAAGGGGTGCTCCTGTAATGCTGGGCCTTGGTAAATTGTACATCCTAAAGCAAAGACCAGTGTGGCCCCAAGAGTCAAGTCTGATCCCAGGGTTTCTTGTCCACTCTTTTACTCCAAGAAATGTTGGATTTTCCACAGAAACCTTCCCAAGTAGTACTCAAAGGAAGAAGAAAGTCAGCTACTGGTTTCCGTACTTATGACCTCAGAAGTCACCCAGGTCACAGGAACTTGACACCTTTGACTACTTAACCTTTTTCAAAAAAAAAGAAAAGAAAAAACCCTGGGAATTAAATCCTTTGTTAGGATGTGGAAGAAAGTCTCCCTGCCCACCTGCCCATTCCTTTAAGAGACAAGATCCAAGAAAAGAGTTTGGTGAAGTCCTTGTTCTTTCTCCCACACACAGATGTGAACACTCCCGTGCAAACACATACTTTGTCTTTGCTTGTCTTTCTTGTCCCCGTCTTTGTTCCTGAACTCAAGGACAGCTCCTACAGCAACAGAAGACTGCTTCCACCTGCTGTCACTCTGATTTGATTATATGTTAAACCCATACTGGAGTGTGCAAGGCAGCTCCCCAGGACGCTGTCATCTCTTCCCGGCTAAGCCAGGTCCAGTCCTTGGAAAGGAGACTTTCAATGAACCTGTAAAGGGTCTACCGGGGACTATATGAAGGAGGCAGTACCTGGGGGCTTTTTCCTAAGTCAGCAGGAAGCAGGCTGATGTCCCAGACTGCTGAAAGGAGGCCCCATCTTTCAGGTGGGCTGGAAAGTGGAGGTCCTAAAGGCCTCTTTCCCCAAAGCTCCAAGCCCTGGCCCACTTCCAACATGGATAATTACATTCCCCTTTCCTAAATACTCCCTGCAGCTTAGACTGGATGCAGGATTCTTCTTTTCTGCCCTAAAACACTGCAACATTGCTATGTGGCTATTAAACAGCTGCCATGTCCCATCCCTAAGGAGGCTGAAGGGAATCGAGTGGGTCATTTATAAAGCCGGTGAAGTGCTTGGGGATGAAAGTGCTCAATATCCTCCAAATGCAGCCTGGGGTGGTTAGGCTGGCGGTCAAATACCAAAGCAGATTAGGCCGGTAATCCAAATGTAATCGCCGGGGGATGGCCTGCCCTTCAGCCTCTGCCCCCCGGACATGCTGTGTTCTTCTTGGGCTGGTTTGATGTTCCGATCATTGTTAGGAGGCCCTTCAGTTTTTCCCTCTATGAACACATACAGCATTCATGGGGTGGGGGGCGGGGGGGGGGGGAATGAATAGCCTTGAGAGGGTAGAAAAAAAATATGACACTAACATGCTTATTAACATCAACTGGAATAACTTTGCCCTAGACAGATGTGCACCTATTGGCAATTCCTCCTCCGTAAATTACTTTGTGGGTTTTTCTAACAGAAAACCAGTTGGCCAATTATCAAGTTTGTATAATCAGTTGGAAAAATGGACACTATTCACATTTACTGCCCCAAAAATCCATGATCTCTATTTTTTACTTCATATACTGCATGACCAAAAGCCGTCTCAGGCCTGCGATTATTTACACTTGAAAATTAGTAACGAACAGTATCTTGCAAGGGCAGCCAGGGCAAGGGGGGCACTGATCGGTGATGGGCAGAAAAAGCTTGGCTGCTCTAAAGCTGGAGCCCAGTGGTGTGGGTTGGGTACTCCTCAGCTGCCCGTCCCTGTCCTGCCCCAATCAGCCCCCACTCAGGTCATTCTGGGGAGTGTAAAATTTAGTAAGAAGCAAACTGGATTTAAACATTCTCAGCTCCCAAAGGGGTATACATATTGCTGTGAATAAAAGCATGGACTCTTAATCAGACAGACCTAGGCTTAAATCCTACTCAGAAACTAACTAACTCTGTGATTATGAACCTTTCTGAGCTTTAGTTGTTTCCAACTGTAAAATGGGGACAGAAGTACCTACCTCACAGAGCTGTAATGAGGATTGTTAAATAAGGTAATTCACATAAAGCATCTAGCATAGTGCTCAATAAAAATTATGGTATTAATATCATTATTAGGTAAACTTTAGCCAAACAACATTCTCCTATGAACCTCCATTTCTGCTTTTAAGAAAAAGGATTTGGAGGCCATGGTCTATCCCTCACCTGCCAAAGGAAATGACAGGTTAATGTGGGATGGTGGGGCACAGAGCGCTACAAATGAAGGAACCAGGACGTGTTTTTCATTTAATTTCACGCCCAAGCACAACAAAGAGGCTTGGGTTTTATTTGTTTGTTTGTTTTTACAGCCACAGCAGCTATAGCATTTTATTTGCTCTGTGTAGAGGAGAGAGGTGATGCTGGGGGCTGGGGAGAGAGGCTGACGCTAGTCTCTGCCCTGGTTATGGTGGTGGTTAGCCCACGTGACCTCTGCTTTCATAAGTTCTCCCCTGTTAGGCATTCCAAGGCTGTCACCCCCTGGGAGTGCTATAAATTACAATGCATTGTGAGGATATTACTACTGTATTGGTTTCCACCGAATCAGTGTCATATGCTAAACACATCAAGATTTTTAATAGCACCAGACTAAACCAATTGGGACTGGAGCCCAAGCAGCTCATAATAAGAAGGGATCAACACTTCACTCTGCGACTGAACATGCGCAGGACACACGTGTTAAGACTGGAGACTAAGAGAATGCAAACCAGTGTAATCCGTGTTGTCGGTTCTAGACATTTATGAGCTGTCATAAAAAGGGAAAAAGAAATTCCCTCACCAATACTACCTGTCGATCAGGCCCAGGAAGAAATTAAAGTCAACAACAATGACAATAAAATAACCCAGCCCATGATTCTATCATTGGTCTTAGCATTTCAGGTGGAACTTAATAAAGAGACCAACTCCCACTGCTGACAGCCTTAGGCCTGCGTCAAGTAGCCAGGCATCCAGCTCTGGGAAGTCAGTTAATGCTGATGTGCATACCCGGGAACAGAGAACGGACAAATCAAATCACTTCCAGAAATCTGAGCTGGAACCCCTATTCATGAGGCTATTCTTAGAGGAAAAGAGCTGCAGGAATGAAAATGACGGTGTTGCAAAATCACTGTTTCTATCCCTCCTCCCTTTGATTCAGACATTCCAAGATGAGGGCCCTATTTAATAGTGCCCCCATTTTTTTTGCTGCCTCTGAGGCAGACCCTACCCTTTATCAAGGTCAGATTCTGTAGCCGCTGATACTTGCATGCTCCTGGTGTGGTTTCAAAAAAAACAAGCAAAGAAAAAAAAAAAAAAAAGGGCAGTGAAAGCCTGTCCTTGTAACTACCAGTCTACAAGGCTCAGTTCTGATACCACCTCCTCTGTAAAGTTTTCCCAACTGTTTCTCCACATTTCCATTCCCACCTTAGAAGAATTACTCACTCTCTCAAATGGCTGGGGGTGGGGGTTGGGTTGACTGGTCAAAAGAAGTACTCTAACTCCAGGCTTCCATCTTCTGGTGCCCAGCACTGACCTCAAATTATTCTCAGGAACAATGTCACCTGGAGGGCCTCCATCTCCCCTAGCTTCCACATTCAGTGCTGGGATCCCCTCTCAAGTCTAAGGCTAGGGGTGTTCACCTGTGCTTAGGTCAGCCCCAATTGTTCCTAAGGGCCGGCTGGGAGCCTCTGTCACTTACCAAGTAGTTCACTTGTCTTTTCGTCATATTCTTCGGCCATTTCCTTCCCGTCTGGGAACAAATAGTGCACCTTCCTTCTCCCTGTGCACAAAGCAGAGAGTGCCTTACCCTAAAGCCTCCTCCTGTCTTGCCTCTTGCAGACCAAGAGGTCTACTGAGTAAACAGCAACAGCATTGGGTGTTTTGAGAAACCCTCCCAGAGCCTCCCACAAACTCCTTGCCAACCATCACTGACCATTCACTTTAAGATATGCCCTAGGAAGAACTGGTTAGTGCCCAGCTACCATTACTGAACATTTTGATCAAAGATTCTGTAGAAGAATTCTGATCAAAAATGGGAAAATGCAGAACAGAATTTACAATTCTCATGGAATCCAGACTTTCTGAAGCCATGGAGGCTGGATGAACCCCTGAAACTACTGCCCTGAGATACTCTTTAAATCTTAAACCAAAAATATCCCCTGAAGTCTTCTTAAACCACAGTATAGTTTAGCATGACTAGTAAAAAATGTCTGCCTTGAGCACTCTGCTCTTTCAAGATCTATCTACACAGGATTAAACTGACAACAGCAACTTGAAAGATTAAATATGAACCTTAGAGAGCAGTGAGTTTATGTTAATAGGGGACGAACAACTCAGATGGTTGCACAACTCGAAGCATGTAATCAATGTCACTGTAAAAACTGTTGAATTGGTGCATGTTTTGCTGTGTATATTCTCAACAACAAAAATAAATAAATTATTTAAAAAAAAGATATGCCCTGGGACTGACTTCCTTCCAGACACTTTCTCTGGATGTGTCTTTGCTCTACGGTTTTTTCCTACCAGCAAAAGCCTCATACTTCTTCCCTTTTATTGAACTCCTTGTCCTTCAAAATCCAGCTCAAATGTCACTTCCACTGGGAAGCGGTCCTTCACTATCATCCCCAGCCTCCTTGGCAGAATTAATCACTTCCTCATTTGTGCCTCTCTAGTGCTTTATTCATACCCACAGTGGCACATTTATCACATTGTATGATAGTTTTAAAAGCATCTGTCTCCCCAAGAATGGCATCTTATTTATCTTTCTCTCCCCAGTTCTAAAACCCAAGCCTATGTGCTCAGTATATTGAACTGGGTTTCCTGCTGAGTTCTTCTGCACTGTCTTTAGGCCATTCTTACCACATAGCCACAGGATGCTAGTCCCCAAGTATTCATGGCACTTACCCTTGGTTATAATTTTACATCTACTTGTGAGATTCTTTGATTATTGCCTGTCTCTTCTACTAGACAGGGGGAATTTTTCTCCCTGCCCATGATTTCCCTAAGACCAAGCATAGTACCTGGCATATATTAGGAGATCAACTAAACATTGATTGAAAAGAATGAATGAATGTTGACTCATCTTCCACTGACAGAATGAAAGAACCCAAGGGAATCTCCTAGCTCAACTCCCTCCACATATGCAATATAATCATAAGCATTTGCTTAATAGTGGCCATGTAACTTCCCCCTTTCTTTTTACATATAGGTAAGTAGATGTAGGTGGGTTCCTCAGTAAGACTAAAAACCGTGCACTAATACTCAGTAGATGGACACCCAACATATGCTTGATGAATAAGAACCCCAAAGCCCCTAACTAGCTAAAGATGCCACTAGCTAAAACTGGCAACCTGTATCTGATCTCCCAAACTCTTTTCTTGTCCAGCTCACTCCCCTGGGCCATAGTTCTCTTGAGGTGTTCCTAACTTGTATTCTGGAGAAATTCACCCCCAAAATTTGCAGGGCTTCTCAGCAGGCCCCTAGATCACACCACCCTAAGTCATTTGGATGTCTCAAAGGATGTCTCAAAGGGGTTTTCCTATCAGGAGTGGGGTACAAGGCATTGCCTCTGATAACTGAGGGTGCCTGGCCTGGAGTTCAGACTTCAGCTAGGCAGGATGCAGTCCATACTATCTGCTAGGCACTTTACATGCTTTATCACATTTAATTCTTAACAAGAATCTCATGTGCTCCCATTACCTGTATTTCACAGATGAGGAAAATTGAGGCTTAAAGGTCATGTAACTTGTTGAAGGTCGTAAAGCTAGAACATGACAGAACTGGGCTTAAGCTCATTTGAGGCTCTAACAACCATGCTAGAATAATTTATATGGCTTTAAATATTTGAAACTTAAACATTATTTCAAGGGTTTATTGGCCATTTTTCTAGTGAACTACCAGTTCAGGCCTTAGCCTACTTTATTTGGGTATTCATCTTTTTCTTACTGATCTGATTGACCCTTGTATATATTAACCATGTGTCGTATATGTTGCAAATATTGTTTCAATTGTCTTTTAACTTTGTTTAAAGTGGGTTTCCCCAAACAAGTGTTTAATTTTTATGTAGTCAGCTGTTTTTTCCTTTGTGGCTATTGCCCTAGAAGTTGTGCTTAGAACATCCTTCCTTACCCAAAGATTATATACTATTTATCTATTCCTTATTCTAATACTATATTTAGTCTAGCAATATATACAGATAATAGATGGACAGATATAAATAATATAAACATAAAAACCTAAAGTATGATAGCATGATATTTTGGTAAAAACATATATATACATACGAGTATGTATGAAGGGAAAATATAAAAGTAACATAAATTCTGATTATTTCTGGGTGGTAGGATTATGGGTGATTTTTTAAAAATTATTTTTAACATTTCCACAACAATATAAACTAATTCTATGATAACAAAAAAGTTTACAGTATGTTATCATTACCAATGGCAGTGATTCTTGGTGGAAGGAGGTAACTTCCCCCCATACACACACACACCCTAGGAAGGTAAATCTGCAGGAGGGGATTGAAAAGGCATATTTGTATATTCAATTCTGTATTATTTTTTTGGTTTGGAAAAAAACCAAAACATTGCTTTGTGATGCTAATAAAAAAAAAATTGACAAAGTCTTCTTGGTTGATGAAATACTTGTTTAAACACGTTCTGTGAGATAGTGCCATGTTTAGCATGACATAGGACCTCTGTCACAATATGCCCCAATTTATCTGCAATCTCTCTTCATTTTCCACCATTTCCCCTCATCGCTTCTTGAAAAAAGGGACCTCCTTATTCACCCTTGTACCCTACCACCTAGCACAGTGTCTGACAGGGAGTTGGTGCTTGATAAAAGTTTGTTATGACTGAATGGGTGACTGCTCTGACCTCACTAAACGTTGTTATTCCTCTAGTAATAAGCCATATACTTTCACAGCCCCATGCCTTAACACATGAGTCATTCATTCTGGAATATCCATCCCCTCTTCTCCACTTAGCAAACACCTATTAATTCTTTAGGACCCATAAACATCACCTCTTCTGTCAGATCTTCCTCCAAAGAGATCACCATTTCCACCTTTGTGCTCTCCTAGCATTTTATACAAGACCCCCACCTCTGTTTAACACACAGTGCTGTTAATTTACATGTCTTTTTCCTTGACCACACTGAACGCCTGGGACAACATGTCTTTTTCTATTTGCTCTAGCGCAGAGCTTGGCACAGAGTAAAGCCTCCCTAAATGTTTCATGAAATGAATGAGCAAATGAGCAGCTGACTTAATTTCTACAAACTCCAAGCTCCCCTGACTGGCCTCTGCCTGTAGATGCGTTTCCAGCTGTTACCCTGAGAACTGCAGGAATTCAGACCTAATTCATTCTTACTGCCAAGTAATCCATGGGTCCAGGAAGGGACCTGGAAGCACAAGAGGTCTTACACCAGCCAATCCTAGTGTGTAACAAAGTCAAGACTCCATACCCCTGTGCCCACCTTTTCCAGGCACAGCTTCTGGCCCTTGCTGTGTCACCTCTAAAGACCCAGGGAACATTTAGAGGCTCACATATAAACTCACAACATTACAGGTGGAAAGGACCTCAGAGTTAACAGAGGTGGCCCACCCACCTCAATTACAGATGAGGAAAGTGAGATCCAAACAAGTAAAGGGGCCAACTGAAGAGTCCCTGGTGAATAAATGGCAGAATCGGAACTAGAGCCCAGGTCTGTCGCCTCTCCATGACACCAGACTGCCCTCAGCAATAGAACCCCTAGACTCTGGTTCATGGGATCCCAGGTCAAGAACCAGTTGTACCACTGACTGGCCGGGGGAGCTGGGGCTGGTCTAAAACCTTGGAGTTCAGTTTCCTCTTCTGTAAAATGAGGTGGAAACTTATCAGACTCTCAAGACGGCGGTGAGGATCAAATGAGATGAGGAAAGGGAAAAGAATTATTATTTATTAGTAACAGAACTCAGAGCGGAGCGAGGTGGTGTATGGGAAACTAGGGGGTATCCAGAGACGGGCGGTCCAGTCACGTCATCTCTCTGGGCCTCAGTTTACTCATCTGCAAATGGGGAACCTGGACTGACTGACGGCCGCGGCCCTTTCAGCTCTGCGGTCCCAAGCTCTGAGGCCCTTCCCAGGGGCGCCAGCGCGAAGGGCCGGACCCTGGGGAAAAGGACGAGGGTGCTCGCGGGGGCCTCGAGTTACCGTCCTGCAGCAGCGCCGTCTTCTCTGCAGCCCGCAGACTCTCCAACCAGCCAGTCACCGCCATCTTCCCTCCGCCCGGCAGCGCGCCGAGCCGATGCCATAGCAACCGCTCCGCCGAGGGTCACTTCCGGCTGACCCGGAAGGTGTTCTGGGCAGTTGCCTTTTCAAGTCCCCTCCCCCTCCCCTCTTTACCTTCGTCCGCTCTCATTGGCCACCCTGGTAAGTATTTCACTCCCGCCCTTCGCAGGGTGACCAGAGTGAAGATGACCCCACCGCAGAGCTGAATCCAGGGAGGGAGGGGCTCTTGGGGCAGAGTTGGGACATTCCAGTCCACCTCTGGCGCCCAGTTGGGAGTCCTGGCCCGAGCCAGCTGCGTACTCGTCGGGCACACCACACCTGCCGGGGTCTTCTCTACCCGCAGCTGTGAGGCCGCAACTCCCCCAGTCACCGAGGGCGCCCTCCACCTGCTGCGGCTGTGCCCCTTCTCCCCGCAGCTGCTGAGCACTCCTGTGCTGAGAGGCCCGGGACCAGGGCAGGTGCAGGGCGTCGTTCCCACTGCCTCCCTAAACCCCTTCCCCCAGGTTTTCCTCTGTGGGTCTGTGTTGGGGGTGGAGAAAAATTATGTGGGGTTTATTTGCAGGTTCTCTCCAGTCTCCATTTTTCTTGGGAACTCAATTCCTTCCTAAAGATACAACTCCATTTCCCAGCCTGGCATCCCATTTTGGTAAAACCCTTTGCCAGTGGGCTGCAGGAGGAGCAGACGCTGCACAGAATCTTTAGAGCAACCCCTGTGAGGAATGATATTCTTTCCTACCCCTCAAAAGCCCTTCATTAGTCCCAGTCTTACCCTTACTTTCCCCAGTACTCTTGACTTTGTAAGGCTGGTAAATGTGGAGCCAGCCTAAACCACCGAGGTTCAGCTGGGTTTTGGGAAACCCCTGGGAACTGAGTTGCTGCCCCCAAGGTCTGGCCAGTAGAGACCCCACCTCCATTGGGAGACGGTTTGGGGGATGTTTATTCTGGATTTCTTTCCACATGACAGTTGCCCTGATCAACCCTCAGACAGAAAGGCCAGGGTACAGCCATACCTCCATGGACCCCAGGGGCATCCTGAAGGCATTTCCCAAGCGGAAGCAAATTCATGCCAATCCATCATCAAAAGCACTTGCAAAGATGCCCAAGAGGGAAGACGGAGAAGAAGCAGGAGGTGAGCTGACCCACTCTCAGACCCCTCATGAGCTTGAATTCTCAACCTTCCTGTTAACTTACATTATTCATGTCCACAATCAGGTATGGGAGCTGACTCTATCTGCTCATGGCCTGTGAGTCTGTTTACACTTGGCTTGCACTATGCTTGGTCTTGGGTCTTTGACAGGCCACTTGCTGTCTTACCTTCTATCCCACTCCAAGACCTCCATCAGTTGGAAAATACTCCTTGATTTCTCAGGAAATGACCAGCAGAACCCTTTGCTCTCCAGGAGACTGCCTTAGGAGGCCCAGGACAGAAAGCTCACTTAGTCCTCAGGGTTATAAGTTGTTTTGCAACCAAATTGACAAGTAAATGGCAAAGGCTTACATGGGGGAGTGGAGGAGGTCTTTGAGACTGTGAGGCCCGTAAAGGCAAGAAACACATCTGCCTTGTGCCTGACACAGAGTCAATGTGAAGAAATGATAAAGAAGGAGGTGATTCTGAGCTGCAGTTCAAAGCAGGGAGAAAAGAGGCATTCATTCATCTATTTAACAAATATTTATAGAAATCCTACACTCTGACAGGCACTGTTCTAGATGCCGGTTACAGCAGAAAACAGGACATGTGAAAGCCCTTGCTCCTTACGTGCAAGTGATGGCCCTCAAGAAATTTGCTTTAAGCTTGAGGTGGGATCCCTAGAAGGCAGACTATCTGGAAGGAAGGAAAAATGACTGCTTGAGGGGCAGGGAACTGTAAAAGGTTCCTTCAGATCATATCTGAAAGTCACGACAATAGGCACCTGAATGTCCCCTCCACAGAATGGCTGAGCTCCCTGCGGGCCCATGTTGTGCCCACTGGCATTGGGCGAGCTCGGGCTGAACTCTTTGAGAAGCAGATTGCCCAGCACGGTGGCCAGATATGCCCTGCCCAGGCCCCAGGGGTGACTCACATTGTGGTGGATGAAAGCATGGACTGTGAGCGGGCCCTCCGTCTCCTTAAACTGCCCCGACTGCCCATGGGTGCCCAACTGGTGAAGTCAGCCTGGCTGAGCTCATGCCTTCAGGAGAGAAGGCTGGTGGACACGGCAGGATTCAGCATCTTCATCCCCAACAGGTGAGCTGGTCCCAGTCTTTCCTCAAATGTTTTCTGGCAACATCTTGAGCTCTCTTCTTGGATTTTAAAAAATAGCTATCATTGTCTTAATTGGACACACATTGGGAAACCAAGGTTTCAGAGGAGAGAGGGATGAGGGGCAGAGGCAGGATAAGACCTTTGATGTCTCAACCTCCCATCACCATCGTTGCAGATACCTGTACCAACCACAGCCCAGCAAAGCCAACCAAGACTCTTCTAGTCCTCCTGGTCCCCATGAAGGTCTGCTCGGGACACCCCTGTCTCTTCCCCCTCCTCCTACCAGACCTGTATCTCCTTTCCAGAAGGCAGAAGAGACACCAAGCACCCAAGCCCAGGTCAGGAGCCTCCCAGCTTCCATTGGGAACCAAATCATAGAAAGGAGGAGGACCTGGTGGTCGTTTACAAAGTCTCAGGCCTCTGAGAGGAGGGCTTGCTTTATTGTCAAGTCATTTAGCTCTTTCCAACATTTATCACTGCTGCATTCGCCCATTCCATACCCCCTACCTACCGTGGTGGATTCTGGGGCTGGGCACTGGGGGAAGCCAAGCCCACACTTAAGGGGACCCAAGTCTGATGCAGAAGATCCAGTCTCATTCTTGGGTAGCTCCCAGTCTCACTAGGAGACTGAAACCGTACCTCTGAGGAGCCCTCCTCATGGAGGGCAGGAATTTATTGTCTCTTCTCCTTTCCTACGTCAAGCCTGGCTCTGATGATGAATCCAGTGATGGAGAAGAGACCCAGGTTAGCGCAGCTGATCTGGAAATCCTGATCAGCGGCCACTACCCTACCCTCCTTGAGGGAGATGGTGAGCCTAGCCCAACCCCTGAGGCCTTGGATAAGTGGGTCTGTGCACAGCCTTCAAGCCAGAAGGCAACCAACCACAACCCCCACATCACAGAGAAGCTGGAAGTGCTTGCCAAAGCCTACAGTGTTCAAGGAGACAAGTGGAGGGCCCTGGGCTATGCCAAGGCCATCAATGCCCTCAAGAGCTTCCACAAGCCTGTCACCTCTTATCAGGTACCTGGGGGCTAGGGCAAGGTGAGGGATCTTCTCTTTACTGATCTGGGGTTGGTGGCAGCACCAGTCACAAATGGGGATCAGGTGTAGTGGGTTAAAATTGTGTCTGGGAGTTGCACAAAAGAAAAAGGGGGGGTTAATTAAAGCAGATTGGCAAAATCTTGACAGTTGTTGAACTGAGTGATGGGTACCTGGGGATTTGTTATACTGTTCTCTCTACTTTTGAATTTTTCATAATAAAAAGTAAAAAAAAAAAAAAAAAAAAAAGAAACCCAACAACTTTAGACTCTAGAGCCCAACTGACCTGAGTTTGAATTCTGCTTCCCATCATTCACTAGCTGTGTGACTTTAGGCAAGTTACTTAAACCCTCTGAGCATCAGTTTCCTCGTCAGTAAAAAGAAACTAAAAATAGTAGCAAATTCAGAGTTCTAATGAGAATTAAATAAGATGATCCCTGTAAAGCACTTTAGCACAGGACTGATGCAGTTAGCTCTCAGGAAATGTTAGCTCTTGCTGTTGCTGTGTTGATGATGATGACAACAATAACTAGAATCATCATCTCCCTACTGCCTATTGCTGGTCTTCATTCCTCTGGGAACCAAGGGACAAATTACCCAGCCCCCATTCAATCCAAAGTTCACTTCTTCAACTGGGCCCAAGTTTAACGTGGCCATGCAGTTGCCAACCAGCCAAGCTGGCCTTTTCCAGCAGACTTACGCTAAAGCAGGGAGCTTCCCTCCCGCTGGCCCTGCATCTCCCGTCTTCTTACTCTTTTCTCTTGCCTCTGCCTCCTGCTCCTCTAGGAGGCCTGCAGTATCCCTGGAATTGGGAAGCGGATGGCTGAGAAGATTGTAGAGATCCTGGACAGTGGGCATCTGCGAAAGCTGGACCATATTAGTGAAAGCGTGCCTGTCTTAGAGCTCTTCTCCAACATCTGGGGAGCTGGAACCAAGACTGCTCAGATGTGGTACCAACAGGTCGCAGCCTGGCCCGGCCCCCACTTCAGTTTTCTGTGTCTCAGCGTTCCTGTCCCACAATTCCCTTACACCTGCGCTCTGATGGGAATGAACGCAGACTGTAGAGAGACCACTTTTCAAGGGGGGCAGTGCTCTCCTGGCTCCCAGAACAGCCCTATTGTTTGGTATCCTTGAGGCATCAACCTGTGATGTAGGCAGGAACTAGAAGTGTGTTTCTCTGTCCCTCAGACCAGCAAGGACTTTGCTGAGGAGACCTGGCTTTGGAGCTGAGTGCCCAGAGCAGTGGTTCCCAAACCTGGCTGTGCTCAGAATCATCTGGGAGCCTGATAGCAATATGGATGCCCAGCCCCATCCCTAGACTTAAGGACTCAGTAGCTAAGATGGAGCCCACCAACCAGTATTTTAGGATTGTGGCATGTCTTCCATGCCCCCTCGTCCTTCCAAAGTCACGCTGATTATAAACCTAACTCCTGCTGGGATTGGTCCTGCCTCAGGCCTTCCTTGGAGTCGGGTCGGGGCAGGGGAGAGGAATGGAAGCCTTGTGTGTGTGTTTACTCACTGCCTCATCATCAGTCCTGGATGCTCATAGCCTCCCTATCTGGCTTCTTTTCCCAGGGCTTCCGGAGCCTGGAAGACATCCACAGCCAGGTCTCCCTGACTGCACAGCAGGCCATCGGCCTGAAGTATTACGATGACTTCCTGGAACGCATGCCCAGGGAGGAGGCTGCAGAGATCCAGCAAACAGTAAGCAGGTGTCCCAGGGCAGTGAGGAGAGCCAGGCCCTGTTATAAGGTCAGGGCCTGGCCCAAAGCCAAGAACCCTTGATCCCTCAGCTGGGGAGCCTAGCACATAGCGGAAGCTGTGGGTCAGCAGAGGTTGGGGCCGGTGGGGAAAGAGCAAGCAGAGAGGGAAGCTGTGGACCCAGAAGAGGGGGTGGGTGGCTTTGGTACGGCAGCTGCAGCATCAGCTCTCTGAATGAGGGTTCTCAGGAGTTGGGCAGAGTTAGGAATGGATTAGATATTTGAATGGTATTAGGACTGGCTTGATGTTAGGACTAGATTATGTAGAGGTAGATTGTGTTCAGAATTATTTGAGGATATTGGGGTTTGAACTGGGCTGTGTTAGGATGGGCAGAGGTTCTTTGTTTTGGGTCACAAATTTATTTGAGGACTTGGTGAAAACTGTGGCCTCTCACCCCCAAGAATGCACAAGTGTATGAAGTTTTATGTCTCTTTACAAGAGGTTTATGGACCGCCTGAAGCCCACTCAAAGCTAAACCCCTATACTTCAGGATTTGGGTTAGAGTTAGGTCTGGAATTAAGGGAGAACTAGATCAAGAGTTAAGTGAAGGTTAAACCTGAATTAGGATTAGGATTTTGTTAGTGTTGGTTGCTTTTGAGTTAAGATTTGTGGTTATCTTAGAAATAAGATTTAGCTAAGATTTGGGTTTTGTTTACATTTGGGCTGAAGATTAAGTTCATGTAAAAGCTGGATTAGAGAGAGACTGGGATACATTTAGGGCTGGATGTACCATTTGTTCAGTTGGCTTCAGGATTGGGGGCTGGTTGCTCTGGGCAGGCTTGCTCACTTAGGTCTAGAATTCAGATGGGGTCAGGACTCCATGGAGACTCTGGCACAGTTTAGTTGAAATCAGCCTCTTGCTGTACCCCAGGCCGCAGAACTGAGACGGGTGCAGGATGAATGCTCAGGCCCCTTTATCCACCCATCACCAGGTCCTGGTGCTAATGATGACACCATCACTCAGCCACAGTGTCTGGGCACAGAGAATGGCCCAGCCAGCCCCCAGCCCATTAGAACAGAAGTGGCTTCCCACCTTCCGCCCCCCATTTAAGGGCTCCACCTTTAGGAGTTTTTGAGGGATTACTTATTCTCCTCTTGGGAGGCTGTAGAAGGGAGTGAAGGGATTAGCAGAGCCTGCTGGTCAGGAGAATCGAGGTGTCCTAGCAGTGGGTATCCAGGGCCCCAGAAATCTTGGTGTCCTGGAGCAGAGGCGGGGAGGCCGTCTGCATATGAAAGGCCTCATTGTCTCTAGGGTGGAGGCTAATGGGCTTATCACTCCTCAGTGAGGAATGATCGCTGAGCTGACAGCCTCCTCAGCCTCAGCTCTCTCCCCCAACACCCCATTCCTCCAAGTCAGGATGTGGGCATTGGCTCTGAGTTGCTCCTCTCTTTGCTATCTTTCAGTTCCTTTTGCACAGGTGCAGTTAGATTTCTGGGCTGCATTTCTCCCTGGCCTGGCCCAGGGCACCCTGGCTGCTACCTGCTCGGGCCTCAAGCCCCAGCTCACACTTTCTGCCTTTAGCTCCAAATCCATAGGTGCGTGGGGCTGCTGCCAACGGGCAGAGGGTCCCAGGCACCTGCCCCTTGTCCTGGGTGGAGTTTCACTGATGGAAAGAATAATCTGTGCCCTCCCTCAGAATCAAGTAACTATTTTTTTCTATCTCCCCTCAGGCCTTTGTCCTGTGGGTTCAGCGCTTTTTCTTCCTCTTCTGTTCTAGTGAAGCTGGAGAAAGCTTCTCCTCAGGGTAGATCCTCTGGCCTCTTTTCCCTGGGTCTCATTCCCTCAGGCTGGTACCCATTTGCAAGGATTGCCTTGGGTCATAAACTGGGAGTGTGGGCCCCTGGGTCAGGGAATGCCCTCTTGCTACCCCTGGAGAGGAACCCCTTATAGGGCTTGAGGCCCACGGTCCCCTTACCCCCTGACCACTCTTCCCCAGGTCCAAGAATCAGCTCAGGCCCTCAACCCCGGGCTGCTGTGTGTGGCATGTGGTTCCTACCGACGGGGGAAGGCCACCTGTGGAGATGTGGATGTGCTGGTCACTCACCCAGATGGCTGGTCCCACCAGGGCATCTTCAGTCGCCTCCTTGACAGCCTCCGGCAACGAGGTATATGCTCCGTCTCCGGGTGAGCAAGTTGTCAGGGGGCGGGGCGGGGCTGGACGGCTCCCAGGAGGGAAAGCCTCCAAGTTGCAATTCCTAGGCAGGAAGCAGGGGAAGATTGCTTCATAAGAAGCCCACCTCTCCCTTGTGGCCAGAACCACTTCAAGGAGATGAAATAGAGCTAGCTCCCCACACTACACAGAGGTACTCAGCAGTACCTGCAGATTGAGTTTTGTCTAATCTTCCTGTGACACTGTGGGGAAGGTAGGGAGTAATTTCTGTTCATGTTTTACAGGTAGGGAAACAGACCCAGAGAGGGCAAGGTCACCCAGTAGACCAGTGGGCGAGCTAGGAATAGAGAAGCCAGGGGTAATTAGGGAAGACGGGATGGCCCAGGGCCTGGCCCCCTGCCCTCCCAGCAGCCTCGTATGTTGGCCCAGGTTTCCTGACAGATGACTTGGTGAGCCGGGAGGAGAACGGCCAGCAGCAGAAGTACTTGGGTGTGTGCCAGCTCCCAGGGCCCAGGCAGCGGCACCGGCGGCTGGACATCATCGTTGTGCCCTACAGCGAGTTTGCCTGTGCCTTGCTCTACTTCACCGGCTCTGCCCACTTCAACCGCTCCATGCGGGCTCTGGCCAAGACCAAGGGCATGAGCTTGTCAGAGCATTCGCTCAGCACGGCCGTGGTCAGAGATAACCATGGTCTCAAGGTGGGGCCTGGCTGGGTGCTGCCTACCCCCACTGAGAAGGATATCTTCAGGCTCCTAGGCCTCCCCTACCGAGAACCGGCTGAGCGAGACTGGTGACCCGTGACTGGGGGGCCCTGGACCAGCCACCCCACCCAGATGGCCATCCGGTACCCCTCTCCCACCTCAGCTGGCTGAACCTCACTACTTCAACCACCTGCCGTCCTCAGCAACCACCAGGATCCCAGGGCCCACACAGCCCTTTCCCAGACAGAAACAAGCTGCTAGCCTTTCTAGCTCACCACGGGCCCTGGTAGAGTTTTGCACATGCTCCTTGCCCCATTCTAAGCAGGGAAGGGACAAGTGGCTGGTTTGAAGCCCAGCTTCCTGTGCTGAGGACCCAGGCATGCCCCCTCCTCCACCCTGGAGAGAGTCTGAATGCTGGGGGGTGGGAGGGGGCTGCAGGAGGAGGGGTAAGCAGCAGTGGTCCCAGCATCATCCAGGACCCTTTGGAGTAGGAGAATGAGCAGTTTCACATGTACTCTCTCGACCCACCCTGCTTCCTGTGCAGCTGGAGGTGCCAGGCAGGGGGCCCCCAGCCTCAGTGAGGACAGCATGGGAAAGCCCAGGGGCCCAGTAAAGTGCATTTGAAGTCAACCTGTCTGGTGTCTGTGAGCTGCTGCAACCCCTGCCTGCCTTCTTCCTGCTCAGGCAGACAGGATAGGAGCTCAGTGGGGAGTCCAGAAAGGGTGCATGTCATCACAATGGACCATGCCTGAGCTGGCTCCTGAACTCAGGCATGGGGCAAGAGTGGCTGTCAACAGGACAGTTGTGGGGGGTGGGGGTTGTGAGCAGACGTTAGCTTCTCTCTGTCCACCTATCAGCAGCTCCTGTGGGTCTGGCCCTAGACCAGGCTATCAGGGAACATGAACAAAAGTGACACAACTCATAGGAAACAAGGACAATTAAATGGAGCCAGGGCTAGGGCAGTCAGGAAAGGCTGCCTGGAGGAGGAAAAGGGGAAGGCTGGCAGAGAAATATTTGAGAGGGGCAAGCAGGCTCTGTTTGGGGTCAGTTAAGGGACAAGCTTTAGAGAGGATGTGGTATGAAATGGGACTGGTAGAGGATTGAAAATCAGGCTGAAAGACCTAGTTTGATAGCGGTTAGGAGCAAGACCAGCCACTGGGATCAGGATGACGTCCTAGGCTAAGCCTTGCTGGCCTGGGAGAATTTGGTGGAAGGAGATTGCTGGATGGAGGTTGGACATGCGAGGCATGAAGGATGATGAGTACAGAGGCAGGGGAGAAGGCAGAGGACAGCAAGCACCTGAAGAAGCTCCATGACATGGGGATTTGGAGGTGGAGAGGTGCTCAGGCCACAGAGGTGGGCTCAGACTTTGTGCTGGTGTGGTGGGGGTGGTACTGAGGCCTGCATCTCTGTTGCTAACTTGCAGAATCTCAGATCTGGCCTTTGCCTGTTCTCACCCAGAGGGTCCCAGCAGCTTGAGACGCCGAGGGCCAAGCCGTGGGGCCTTGCCTCCATGGGGCCTGCTGGGGAAGGAACCAAAAGCCCATGGAGTCCGAGAGCCTCTTTTTAGAGTTCAGTACCCACCAGACAGAGCCATATCAGAGGCCCAAAAGCCTCCGTGGGGGGCAGCCTCTCCCTCTGTTGTTCCTACTACTAGGGATGCACAACTGCCGAGGGCCACGGTGGGCCTGGAATGGACAGGAGAGAAGCTGCGGAAATCCCTGGGCCCCCAGGTGTTAGGGCTGCTTTGGGCCCCTCCTTAAGAGCTCTGCCAGTTCCACTCTGGACTGGTCCCTCGGTGCCTGCCACTGGCCCCAGCTGGGGTCACGGTAAACAAATCCAAAGACTGTTGTGTCTAGGCCCAAATGTGGAAGTTGCTTCTCCTCTCCTTTTGCTTCCCATTTCAGTAGCCACCCTGTTCAGCAGTCTCCTGGTATAGAGAAACAGGGCCTCCAGGGCTGGAGAAGAAGGGACCAGTGGGTCACAGGGTAACTTGGCCAAGCCAACCCCTTCCTATGCACAGGAAGTTCCCAGAACCACAGGGAGTGATAGTGTATGACTTCTTTGTGTGAAACGAGGGGCCTGACCCCCATTCCTGCCATCCACACCCCCATCTGCCTTAACCCCAGGAGGCTCACAATTCACGGGACTGCCTTCAAACCATACAGCCTCCTGGTCCCACCTCCTGGTAAGGGCAACTGGAAGTCATGGGATAAAGAGAGAAAGTCCACACACCCTCGACCCATCTTGGGGTGATAGCCTCTTTGCTGCTCAATCTGAGGAGCCCAGGTGCGAGGTAAAGGAGCTGGTGGAGAGATTTCTACATCTTGAGAAACAGATGGGTGTGGGGGGGCTCTGAGTCCAAACTAAGCAAGAAGTGTGAGCATTGTGGGGTTTCCCTAGCTACTTCAGAGTCTGGACCTGGTTCCTGGGCAGGCTTCCAGCCCAGTCTCCCATCCTGCCAGAAAGGGAGACTGAACTTCAGAGCCCTGGTAGGTTCTGGGGTCCTTGCTGAGCATCCCACAAAGCCACCACCCAATCACCACCTGACCCTGAAGTGAGGGGCCCCATAGACCTGCTTCCTGCCCCTAGCCCAGCCCTTCAACACTGTCGCTGAGCCAGGGTTGTCCCTGGCCAAACCCCATATGTGGTAGGCAAAATAAGAGCACCCCAACGATGTCCACATCCTAATCCCTAGAACCTGTGAATATGCTACTTCATATGGCAAAAGGGGTTTGGCAATCCTACTTTATGTGGCAGAAGGGGCTTAGCAAATGTGATTAAGAACCTTGAATGAGATTATCCTGGATTATCCAGAGGGCTGAATCTAATCATGAGTCCTTAAAAGTGGAGAACCTTTCCTAACTATATTCAGAGATGTGACTATGGAAGAAAGGTCAGAGAGATGTGCCATTGCTGGCTTTGAAGAGGGCGAAAGGGGGCCATCAGCCAAGGATTGTGGGCAGCCTCTAAAAGTGGGAAAAGGCACAAAAACTGGTTCTTCTAGAGCTTCCAGAAAGGAACACAGCCCTGCTGACACCTTGATTTTAACCCAGTGAGCCTGTGTTGGCCTTCTGATATACAGAAGTGTGAGGCAATAAACTTGTGCTGTTTTAAGCCCCCAAGTTTGTGATAGTTTGTTATTGCAGCAACAGAAAACCAATAGGCCATGTGTGTCTGGGACTCTCCCCATACAACGAGGGCAGAGGGGCAGTGGGTGTAAGCAGGCCTCTCGGTGAGGTTGAGGAAGTCTCTGAAATGCAGTTGGGAGGGTGGGGGTAGGGGGCAGGAGAAGGTGCCTGGAGTAGGGAGGTTGGGGGGTGGGCAAAGCCCTCTCAGATGCTGCCACATGCTCACTCTGAGCCCTCCTTAATCTGAGGTTCCCTCTGATACTTTGTGCCTAAGATGCAAGTCCTCTTCGGCTGCTCTGCCCCAGCCCTGCCAAGCTGGAAGCCTCATCTTTTCCGGGGCCTAGGGTGATGGCATCCCCCTCAACCCTAGACTTGTATCACAAGGGTGGCAAGGTAAGACCAAACCTTCCTCCGAGGTTCTGACTGATGTTCTGACTGCTCGTGGGGTAGCAGGTATGGGCACAGGGCCAGGGGCCTCCCAGCCAGTACCTGCTCCCAGACCTGGGTTGAGCATGATGAGGTGGGCAAGCCCAGCTGTGTCTTGTCCTGAGGGATACAAGGGCTCAGGATGGAAAATCCAGGCCCTTTGTCCTGCTTCTCCAAGAGAGTTGTGGAGTTTTCACCCCCAGGAATTCCTGTCCCTTTAACTGGAGTGGAATGCCTCTTGCCAGGACTGGGACTGCAACTTAGCGAAGTCATTGGCGACCTCATCCTCCTCACTCCCCCATCACTTTAGAGATTGACCTCACATGGAAGCTACAGCTATTGGAGCCACTTCCTGCTACCCAGACTCTGCAGACACAGCCAGGAGTGTCCCAGGCCTGGGGCAGGCTCAGCCCGAAGGCCTTTGGTCCTTCAGTCAGGGTATCAGCTAGCTAGTTTCCAGGACCCTTGAAGCCACTGGGCAGCCCTGCTTCTGAGCTCTGGGAATGGGAACCCTCAGGGCTGAAGCCTCAAAGCTGGGCCAGGCCCCATCCCCAGCGTCCCACCTAGGTGACCCAGCAAGCCCTGGCCCCACACTGGAGGTCAGAGCAGGAGCTGAGCCCCAGCAAAGACCTCAAGGGAGCATCCAGGGCCCAGAGATGAGGAGGAGGCCACTGCTTGCTGCTTGAGTGTCTGTGGGGCTTCTTCCTGCACAGCAACAGTGGCACATTTACCCTGCTGAACTTGGGCCTGACCCTGACTGAGCAGTCCCAGGACCCTGACAGCCTGGGGCAATGTGTTCCCCTCAGCCCCACTGCCTTCACCCACTGGGCTCTGGTTCCCTCAGCTCAGCTGTCTCTGTGTACTTGGGTGTGCCTCTGGGTATATGTGTCGCCGTGTGGCTTCCTGTTCATTTGTCCCTGTGCCCAATGTACATTCTAGGCCCTGTGTTTGTGTGCTTCGTGTTCATGATTTTGTACCTGAGGATGTGTGCACATCCCTGGCCTTGTCAGGATGTTCCTGTCTACCTAGGCCTCTGTGCGCACATGCTATGTGTTGAGGACTCAGGCAGGGCCTGTGGGCTGGGGGGAGGGTGCCCTGGAAGTACCTCGGGTGCTGATAGAGAGTTCAGAAGGTGGCAGAGCCTAGCTGGGCTCCAGAATTTGGGTCCTTGTGTCCACGGAGGCGGCTGCAGGGCAGGCCGCCTGCATCAGCCTTGAGCGGCCATCAATAGCACGCGGTTAATTAATTTGATGGGAACAGCAGGGACCGCCATTTGCATTTAGTGAAGTTCCAGGAACTTCCAACCTCATCTTCATAATTGGCCTCATAAATTGTAAGAAAGAGAGAGATCAGCAAAGCGGGAGGGAGGAGGGGCTGCCCGTCCGTCCTTATTTAATTTTATTGCTGAAATTCATCTTTTTAGCCTCCTCCGGAATCGGCTCTCCCTGCCGGATTTGCCTAATCATGATAAATTAATATTCATTTCTCCACCTCTTCCCCGGCTCCCGCGCTGTGGATGGAGTTGCGGGGGGTGGGGGTGGGGGGTTCTTTTTCCAGTCCTCCACCAGCCCTTGGTGGGAGCCTGGTGGGGCACAGCTCTGAAGGGGAGCTTGGATGCAGAACTAAACGTGGTACCTGGGTAAGGGTGGAGGGGATCCTGGGAGAAAGATGCAGCTCTGTTACCTGTGTGTTGGGGGGATTGGGGCTCTGAATGAGAGGAGCAGCCCAGAGGGTCCTGGATGCTGGGATCAGGTACCTCTGCCCAGCCAGAGCTGGGGGGAGGCAGGGAGGGCCCAGAGGCCAAGACTGGGGGCAAGGATGGATTTGGGCTGGAGGCCAGCTCGAATTGAAGTGGGTAACATTTTGGTTGCCACCTGACCTGGACTTTGCCCTACCCCACCCCCAAGGAGACACAGGCCCTCTTGCCCT